CAAGCTCCTGCAGTAGCGGCTTCACTACCAGCACCTCTTCGATGGTATTCTCCAACCTCTCCACCTCCTCACTGCTGCTGTTGCTGCTGGGGCAGAGTTTCATAGCAGTGCATATCACCATCGGATCCTACGCGCAGAGCAACGCAAAATATTTACATCAATTGGGAAGGTAACACGAAATAATTAAAATTTACACTCGTTTCAATAGTAAGACATTGCTATAAAAAAGCACATCAGTGTTTGCTTTACTCAGTTTTTTTCTACATTTTTTTTTCAGTAAATGCGCAAAATCCGGACGCGTGATTTTGGTGCATATTGTGCTTAACTTGTGGCGAGAATTTTGCTTTCATATTCATTGTGGTAATTGAGAAAATATCCAAAATTTCATTTTTACATAAAAATTCAAAATTTGTGTCATCACAATAATTAAGTGCTAGAAATTTCACGAAATTTTTTGGCTGCAGCATAAAGGTACATCGTATTTTTAAATAAAACGTGTGATGGATTCGATTCACTAGTCAATAAACGTTTACTCGTTATTAGAGTAATACCCGTGCAAAAGCTTCAGTGTATCCTTAACTGGGAAGGTGATGTGCACAAACATTAACGGCTCCTGCTATAAACACAGGATCCCGCTTTTAAACCATTCTCACACACACCACAGTGCTCGAAATAAGAAAAAAAATGTCCCAACAATTTCTGGTTGTCCCAAAAAATATCCCCAAATCTCCTATTTTCAATCACATAATAATATGGTCAGAAAACACCCAAAAACAGTGGCATAGCCAGGATTTTTTAACAAGCGGGGCAAAAAACAGCGAACTTCGCAAAATAGTAGATGACTTAATATTTTAATGGCTCCTCCGCCTCCCTCTCCACACCCTACGGCTTGGCTCCTTTACCTCTCAGCTCTGCAATCTTTGTTTTGGGCGCCATGCAAAATGGCAACATTTTTGTTCATTGTTCTCTGCTCCCAAGATATGTAATTGTTCAGTGGCGGGTCTAGGATTCCGAGGGGGGGCAAATTCTGGTTGTCTCGGACAACCGGACACCGCTTATTTCGAGCACTGCACCACCCGTCATTCTCGCATATTCAAAGTTCAAGCTCAGTAAGTTGCACATGCAAATTTCACACGTTGCAGTTCGGCATTTACCATTTCCATGGCGACGAAGTCGAGGATGGCAGGGAAGAATGCATCGACAGCGTTCTTGCACTGTAACAAACAATGAGAAGCCATGAAATCGTCATGGCA